ATCCGTCTATGCTCTCCTGCATCTCACCCTCATGGGACTCGGTAGGGGGACTTGATTGGAACATAAATCTCACACGGTCACTGCACAGGGGACCTGGCCCTGAGTGGGTCTGTCTAGGGCCAGCTGTAGTGTGTGGGCTTTTGACTTTGTGTAGGAAAGATTTCACAACACGAGTCCAGGTGACGACGAGGGTACATTTATTAAAGCTGGGGACAGTAAAACAAGTGTCGACATAAGAAACACTCAAACCTGTAGAGAATTTTTATGAGTTTATTTGAGCCAAACTGATGACAATTGCCAGGTAGCAAAACCTCAACAGATTTGAGAAAATGCTCTGGAAAATAGCAGTTTTGCACCTATTAGTTTTTTAAGTATTTGATTTTTAAAAAGATTGTATTTATTTATCTTTAGAGGGAAAGGGAAGGAGAGAGGGAGAGAAATATCAATGTATGGTGGCCTTTCCTGCGTTCCCTGCTGGGAACTGGCCTGCAACCCAGGCATGTGCCCTGACTGGGAATCCAATCCTTTTGTTCACAGGCCTGTGCTTAATCCGCTGAGCTACACCAGCCAGGGCTGCACCTTATTTTATATATTACAATTGAGAGTAGAGAAATAAGGGGGTTATATGAAATCTATTGCTAATAGATTAGGGAGATGGGAGAAAGCAAAGTGGGGGGTACTTCTGAATTGGGTAAAAGATAAAATGATACACATATATTTATACTTCTTTTACATAGCTGGGTACAGAGTAGCTAAGGGTAAACAATTAACATGATAACAGTAACAATGAGGGGACTTGTGACCTCTCTCTGGTGCTGGGCCAGTGCTTTGAAGGGTCTGGAAAAAAAAGGAAATTACTCTGACTTTCCAAAGGAATGTTATCATAGATACAAAAAGATAATAGGCTCCGATAAGGTAAAGACTGGCTTTTGACAGGGAATTTTCTGGCCTGGGATTTGACTGCCTGCCGTAACCTGCTTTTAGTTAGAAAGTTTTAATTTCAGACCATCCACTGGGGTTGCTTTTGTCTCTGAGTTTGTGAGGACACCATGCAGCCCCCACCCCCACCCGAGCTTGTTGGGTTTAGTATGTGGCCCCTTTTAGTCCACACAAGGAAGGGCTTAGCACAGAAGAAGCAACCGGAGAGCCCAGGCTGGGCTGCCTTAACTCCCTGGAAAGTCAGAGAAAAGGGGACGTTGGGGACAGGGCCAGGGATTATTCTGGGAAGAGCTTCTGCTGCCCATTGTTCCCCTGGTTGCAAGTCTTGTGGGGAACCTTAGAGTTTAGGAGATGTGTGCTGGTGAGGGAAGAACCGGGAGTAGAGACTGGAGCAGGAGGATCCCCAGAGGGAGAGTGTGACCTGGGTCCTTGGTCTTGAGTTTCTCTCTCTCTCTCAGAGGTGGGAATCTTAGGGAAGGTGCCAGGGGAGGGTTCAACAGAATATCCATCAGTTCTCCAGGTGTGCTCTTTCAGGGCTATGGTCTTTACTGATTGGTCAGTGACAGGACAGGGAGTCTTTAGTCACTGCATTGGTCTGGCATTGCCTACCTGGTTTTGCTGCTTTTGTGGGCCTGGACCTGAAATACCAGTGAGGCCTAGATGTTATCTCTGGGGAGGTGACCTGTTTTTGACAGTAAGTTGCTCTGCCAGTGTGGTCAGCTGTCTGTGGGCAAAAAGGGTGCTGCATATTAAACCCGACAAACTCAGGGCAGGCCTGCAGGGTGTCCTCACAAACTCGGAGACAAAAGTAACTGCAGTGGATGTGAAACCGGAAAAAACACCGGAGTTCAGGCTGCCTGTCACTACCAAACCCAATAAGCTGAGACAGGGATTGAATCTTTATGGGCACTTTATTCAGATGGCTGGAGATCTGAGAAGATGGCAGATTCATATCCTAACAGACCATCTTGTCTTTTCTTTCCAGGCCAAGGGTTTTATAGCAGGGAATATACAAGGTGTGGTGAGAGGGTTTTGAAATTCAGGGAGGGTCAGATAAAAGAAACTGCAACATTCCTGTCGTGGGCAGTTAGCTGTTCTCAGGGGCGGGTGGTCGTTTGTCTCTCTCTGGAACACCAAGCCCCCCCCCCCGCCTGCCCGCCACGCCTCCACTTGCCCCAGGCAATAATCTTTAGCGGTGCCCCGGGAGGTCCGCTGTTTTCCCAGGAGCCAGGGTGGGCTGTATCTGTAGTTTCTGAAACAAAAGCTTTAATATATACATTATTGGATAAGCTTATAACTATTTACCTTAAACTAAAATTTTCCAACACCAAAAGTTTCCTATAGGATGGTCTGAAATGAAGAACTTCCTAACTAAAAGCAGATCCTGGTGAGGAGTCATGTCCTAGGCCAGAATCTTCCTCAACAAAAGCCAGTCTTTACCTTATCGGAGCCTATTATCTTTTTGTATCTATGATAACATACCTTTGGAAAGTCAGAGTAATTTCCTTTTTTTCTAAACCCCTCAAAACACTGGCTCAGCACCAAAGTGAGGCCACCAGTTCCCTCATTGTTACTGTTACGCTAATTGTAGACACTTCACTATCCTATGCCCACCCATGGAAAAAGAGTACCTGTCTATCATTGTACTTTTGATCCCATCCTAGAGGCCCTGGCCACTGACAACCCCCAACCCCCGACCCCTGCTTTGCTTTCTCCCACCTCCCTAATCTGTGGGTAATGAGTTTCATGTAACCTACACTTTTGATTGTAATGAATAAAATAAGGTGCAAAACTGCCATTTTTTGGAGCATTTTCACAATCTGTTGAGGTTTTGCTACCCAGTAATTGTCATCAGTTTGGCTCAAAAAAAAACTCATAAAGATTCTTACATGTTTGGACATTTCTTACACTACACATCGGTCTGTTTCCCTATCCTACCTGTCCTGGCCCACTGGCCTGTCTGAATACCACTTGCTGTGCTTTAAGTAAATACGTTTCTTTGCTTCTAACCAAAATGTCTTCATGTGCCTTCTGCCAGTGCCATGAATCTGTGGCAGCTAAATTGTTAGCTTCCAAATATGGAAAAAAATCCTTTTATGGCTCTTCACCCATGAATTATGCAAATACTTAAATAAAATAAGATACACAAAATTGTAATTTAAATAATGCAAAATTTAATTTGTAAATTAAACAAAATACAACATTTTGACACACAAAGTTATTAAATACTCTGGATGACCAAACTGTGTATTAGGAGAAAGATCAACACGGATTTAGCATCCAAGTAACCACTGGTATTCTAAAAGAGGTTCATTTACAGTGGTATCTAACAGAGGTAATTAGCACATTTCTGTCTGAATGATATCAGAAACCCACATGCAATAGAAGAGAAAAAGCTGAGTGGTACTAAAATACAGTATGTTGATATAGAATTTAAAGGGTAATATAGTAAACATCATGTATTTATACAAATAAAGCAATTCAGAATACTCTGGGGTTTGAGCAACAGATTCTTAAAGTCATAGCCTTGGGTGACTACCCACATACACAGAGTCCTTTTTCACAAATTTCTATAGAAACATTAAGTAGGATAGACAGCAAACAAAGGCAGGGAGGAGGAGGGACACCTGCCCCACCCTCCTAGAAATTCTATGTATCTTTTCCACTCTCTGGGAAAGAAAGCCTTTGAAACTGTGCTTCCATCTGAAGGCCTGAAAAGCTGAAAAGGCCCCATAGTGCCTAAAGGAAGAAGCCCATTAACACCTTTGGGTGGTCATGACCTTGTCCTGGGAACACTGGCACCACCTTTACCCATCAATCAATACGTAACTTCTTCAGCCAACCCCCATCCCACCACCTATATAAATCCTCAGAACCAAGGCTCTTGCTCTTATTTTTGCCATTCCTGTGCTCGCTACACAGGCATTTGGCCACCCATACTTTCACAGTTCTTACCCAGCTTTGCCCTGAACCTATCTATGCCTTTCCACCCCCTAACCCCACCTTAGTCAGGCCCGTTCTCTTCCATGAGAGCAGATTACCAATAAATTCTGCTTGCACACGAATAGACTCACTGATCTATAACACTTTATGGCATTGGTAAGAAGAACTGAAATTCCAGGTTTCTCCCGTAAGAGAAACATCAAATAAAAAACAAACCTTTGGTATTGACATAATTTTCTTCAACGAATGTCATTCTCCATCATTTAAGATGCTATCTGCTTTTATGAATAGTAACAACATCCACAATCAGTTTAATTCCTCATCTACTTCCACAAACTCTCAAGAGCCTCCTACTTAGGATGTTTGCCACTTGGCTCAGTAGGTAAGGCTGTCACTAATCTAGGGTAAAAGCATGGTTTCTTATTCTCCACAGGACAGAAGAAATTTATGTGTGTTGCTTTAAATCTGGGATCAAACTCTCCTGAGATTATCAGGGTCAGAGTGTGAGTCTGAGATTTTGCATTTGAGGGCCCAGAGCTGCCTGCAGTCACTTACAGTCATTTTGCCTAATAAATCCTCTTATTCTCTTTTTCCTCAATTTCTGCTTTTTTTGAACCAGATCATCTCATTCCTTGATTGAAAATCTTGTACTCTAAGGAAGCCAAACACGTAATAGGTCTTAAATGACCTGTATGGTCCTATATGACCTGGCCACTCCCTTTGGTCTCTGCTTCCATTTCCCCAAAAAGCAGAGCCCAAGACAAATGCTTAGAAGCAAGAAGTTCGGTTTGGGAAGTCATTCCAGGCAACCAGAGAAAGGAAACAGAGATGAGAAACCTGTCTGAGGACTCATTGTTGAGCTGGTGATCTCTTTGGGCACCGTAGTTCAGTGATCAGGAACCCTCAGAGGTCAAGGGTCCTCTGTGCCCAGACACCAGTGGGGGAAGTTTCATTGGCCAGCAGTCATCCCCCGTTGCTCTTGCGGGGGGTGGGGGAGGGCTCCCGGGGTGTGCTCAGGAGTGAGCAGAGCGGAGCAAGTCCCCAGGCCTTCTGGCAGCACCGCGCAGCAGCCCCAGGGAGACAGTGATGACAAGGCCTACACACCCGCTGAAGCAGCAATGGCCAGAGGGAAGGAGTGCAGACAGAGAAAAGATGCGAGGTAACTCCCACCCCCACAAGCCTCTCTGAGCTCTCGCCTGCTACTCTCTGTCTCTTCGATGCTCCAGGCACCACTGACCGTGAGGCATTTGCTTCAGGTGTTCTTTTTGTGTGAAATGCTGTTTTCCTAGATGTTCTTACTCAGACTGTATCTTCCCAAGGATGCAGATCTGTATCATTCTTATTAATATCAAAGTGAAACCAAAAAAGCTGGCGTTCGTGCTGCCTGTCACCGACCAGACCCAACAAGCGGAGACAGGGATTGAATCTTCATGGGAGTTTTATTCAGATGGCCAGCGATCTGAAAAGAAGGCAGATTTGTACCCTAACAGAGCATCCTACATCTCTTTTCAAGCCAGCTTTTATATGACAGAGAGCAAAGTGTGGTGAGGGGTTTGGAATTCAGGGAAAATTAGATTAAAAAAAACCCTGTATTATTCTCCTCATGAGCATTTGGCTGGGCCCCAGGCAGTCATCTGTCTTTCCCTGGGATGCAGTGGCTCAGATACCACCTCCATTGCTTATGGTTGTTTGTGGAGCACAAAGGTCAGTCGCTGTGGTCTCCTGGAGTCGGGGTGGGCCATACTGCAGTTCCAGAAGCAATAGCTTTTCATATGCATTAACTACTAGGCTTATTACCTCAAACAAAAAATTTCCCACTTTTCAGTTCCCCAGCAAGAACATGCCCCTACTCCTATCCCCACACCCATATTCAATACCCCACATATTTTGTCTTTCATAAACTCAACCCCCAAATCTTTCTCCGTTTGTTTCCTTCATTCCTTAGCAATGATCACCTTCATATATACCTTATTACTTTTTACTCATGTATTATTTATAACCTTACCCCCACCCCCAATCTACAGAATGAAAGTCCCGTTAGGATCTTTGTTTGTTTTATTGTCTAACGTATTTCAAAAAGTCTTTGTACTGATTTCAGCCCTTTTATAATTTGTTTTGATTCAGATAAAAAGTAACACTAATTACCCAGGTTTGAAAATGGAAATCAAGAGAGCAAAGGGCTTACCTTTTTTGCAATAACTATTAGACATTTGTGCTCTTGGAGGAGGATAATTAAAGTGTTTGGAATTAGAAAATGCAAATGATTGAATTTAAAGCAATTTGTACTTTTATAAACATCCTAAAGGCACCAGATGCAAATCTCTTGTTTAAATAGTTTTCTTTTTATTATAAGCCACAGGTCAGTGTGTCCTCTTGATAAATATTTAAGGTTAAATGGATGACCACATAATCTAATAACAACTAATTGGCAGGAATAGGAAGTGGTATTATAAATTTTACCTTTAAAACTTTGCTTTCACTAATTTAGAAATCCTTCATTTTTATTCAACTGCTGAACAGAAAACTTCAATATAAAGTTTGCCATTCTTTCTTTGAGAAACTTGTTCCTGTGACTTATTTTGTTTTGTTTTGTTTTATTTTGTTTTTATTTTTAAGCTTCATGCTTTGATTACTCTGGCAACCACATTTTAAAGCAGAGGCAGGAATGTTTCTGAGGTGACGGCCAATATTTAAACATTGTCAAATCAAATAATTAAGTGTAAGCGGAGAAAAGACCCAGAGATGTCAGAGATCTTCATGTTATTCCTCAGGGTAGAGTGGTGCTAATTAAAGCATGGTACACAGGCCAGTCACAGGTCTACTAACTCCTTGTCACTGGGTCATGACAAGTAAGTACGGAAATTAGAGTAAGCATTTGGAAAGTCTTGTAGCAATTTGTCATTGCAGTGACATCAAAGTACATAATGATTACACTCATCTCATTAAAGCAGGTGTGGAATAGTTTGGGTGTTGTCAGACTGTCCTGGCAAGTTGTGTATGGCACCAAGCAGTGATCACTCATACACAGGACATGTATTGAGAGACATTCTAAAGGCAAATAAGTGAATACAATTGATCCCTCTACTCAAATAACTTAAAAATTCTTCTGTAGAGGTATTGTGATTCTCCTGTCTCTATATTTGAATTTGTCTTGGGAAAAAGAAGTTTCAGTTCCATTCTCAAGTGAAGCCTCCCTTTGACTTCATCACTGTTCTCTATCCAGAGCGTGGTGTCATTGTTCTGAGGAACATACAATGGGCGGTAACTCCCCTGCAGTAACTGTGAGGAAGTGGTGACCCCCAAGGGGGTTCCAAACTTTTTATAACCTTCTATTCATGGTCTCTAGAAACAAAAGTTTTTAAAATATGTGTTTTCTTGAACATCATTTACAACTATTTATCTATTTTTCTCCCCCTCTTTCTTTTTTTTTAAAGCAACAATTCATAGCCTAGTCTAGACCAGTGATGACAAAAATCAAATTCTTTACAGTGTTAAATAGGTGTCAGAGAAATTACTCAAAACTTAGAAATAAGCAAAAGAGATTATTGGAAGTTCATTCAGTGTACTGTTGGACTTGAGCTTCTATTTATTACCTAGTTACCACGATACAAGGAAAAATATTAACTTGTAAATTTTATTCAATACAAATGCAAAAACATTCTTTCTGGAGGATGAAAAACCTTAAAGATTTATTGCCTTGTAAAACATTAGCCAGTTTAAGATCAAACCCAAATACTGATTATCCTCACTTATTATTGAGTTATGTCTCAATAAACCCAATGTAAGTTGAAAATACATTTGAGAGAGACGGATTTGTAAGCCATGGAGCAAGGTTCTGCCTACCTGAGGCTACTGCTGTGTGGAGACCCCGGATGAAGCCACGATCACCATGTTTCATCAGGAGGCAAACCTTCAACGGAGGATTTGGGGGATAAGAAGGAAAGAGAATACATTAAACTCAAAGTCATTGGACAGGATCACAGTGAGATTCACTTCAAAGTGAAAATGACAACACATCTCAAGAAACTCAAAGAATCACACTGTCAAAGACAGGATGTCCTAATGAATTCATTCAGGTTTCTCTTTGAACATCAAAGAATTGCTGGTAATCACAATCCAAAAGAACTGAGAATGAAAAAAGAAGAAGTGATTGAAGTTTATGAGGAACATACAGGGGTCATTCAACTGTTCAGAAATCCTTTTTATTTTCTCTTCCCCCAATCCTTTTTATTTTTAAAAAAAGTTCTTTTGTAATGTGGTGTTCAAAATGGAATTAAAAACTGGTCCCTCTCCCATCTCTTTAAAACATCTGCCAATTGGAATCCTAGTGCCCATTCATTATTGGTTGTTTTCATGGTGATTATTTTTGGTGATCAAACTCAGACCCCTTTATATTGTCCTCTCATTTTTAAATAGCACATGTGTGTGTGGAGGGAGGCCACCTTTTTCAGGTTTGTGATAAATAAGGTCCATCAATACGAGTGTTCATAATGACCTTCTAATTGGCCCTGAAGTTCTAGCACGTGAGAACTTCACTCCTGGACTATGATTTTTCAGTGGGAGGTGGAAGATTGTCAGAGAACTGAACTGTGGAAGAAGACCTTTTCTAAACTTGAAGCTACTTTTGAAACCTAAAGGTCTGGACCAGTAGAAGAAGAATATCAGGTTGGACTCAAGAAGACAGATACGGGGAAAGTAACAGACTAATTCCAAAGGTGGCTTCACTGAAGAGAAAGCATTTTAAGAGTAAAGAAAAATCTTGTCAGAATATCTCAGAGAAGTTCTAATTTTTATTAGCAGTTCATATATTTATTCATGCCTAAGTATATACAGCAGAACACTGTTACTTTTTATTTGTGTATGTTGGCCTGGAATATGGATTGTATATTTATTTATTTATTTTTAGAGAGAGGAGAAGGAGGAGAGAAGAGAGAGAGAGAGAGATGTCAACCAGTTGCCTCTTGTACATGCTCAAGTGGGAACCGGGCCCAAACCCCATTCATGTGCCCTGACCAAGAATTGAACCAGCAGCCTTTTGGTTCACTGGCCAACACTCAATCCACTGAACCACACCAGCAAGGGCTGGGATATGGGATATATTGTCTGTACCAGCTTCATTAAAATAAACAAGTATGTGTAAAAATTTAAAAAAAAACTTTAATACACCCACCCTTTGGAACATCATAGCTGAGCCTAGCCACCCCAATGTGCTCAGAACACAATATCCCCAAATGCTGGCAACACAGCACACTGGACAGTATAGGTTGCTCACCCTCATGGTCACGTGGCTGACTGGGAGGTATAGCTCGCTGCCACTCTCCACTCTCACAAGAGAAGACCTTATTGCCTGTCAGCAGCCCGGGAAAAGGCTAAAATTCAAAATTCAAAGTACAGTATCTCTTGAACATCTATCACTTTTGCACATAAAGTTGAAAAATCTGAAGTCGAAACATTGTAATTCAGGGACCATCTTTGTGGGGGCAGTGTATGCATAGACATGTATATGTATATTTCGAATGCTTTTTAAATCATCACATCTTTTTGGTAAGTTTATTTCATGCTTATTAGATATAATTTTACCATTTTGAATAGCATACTTAAATATAATGCAGTTAACATGTGTTTTTGTTCCTCCAGCTCAATTGAATCAGGTTTTTTTAACTTTCAATTAAAAATCACAACACACAGAAGGTTATTCATTTCTCCTAATTTTGAAATTTTCCTGGGAACTGAGATCTGATTTGTAAGTTGTTGAATGAATTAAAATATATATTGATAATTTTTTACAGAAAAAAAGACAAAACTGAATTTTTTCATAAGTAAAGAATAATTCATATTCAGAGATATAATTTCACTTTAATGGTGAAATTAAATGGTCCATATATAAGAAAGAATTGGCAAAATGAACATTTGAGGGAATATTTCTGTATCATACTATTAATATTGTCCAGTTATGTGAGATATTATTAAATTATTTATAATTGATAAGATAGTTTTCATCCTCATATCATAAAAAGAAGTTTCAGGGATTTTAAAGTGGAGGCAAATATTCAGAACAGCATTAATTCATTAAAGTGAACTTGGTTTCCAGAATACTGTTGATTACATTGAAGATTCATATCCTTTCTCATTGCATTTTAAAAAAAATTGATTTTTTAAAAGAGAGAGAAAAGGAGGGAGAGAGAGATACACACACACTGATTTGTTGTTCCACTTATTTATACACTCATTGCTTTCTTCTTGTGTGTGCCCGGACTGGAGATCAAACCTGCACCCTCTGCGTGTGGGTCAACATAGAAACCAGCTGAGCTGCTGGGCCAGGGCCCCCTTCCCTTTTAACAAAGAAGATGGAGTAATATCTTGTACGTCAGCCGAGAGAAGGGTTCCCTTATGAAATATTCTTAATTAAATGGCTTTTTATGAATGCTTTCCTATTCTAATTTGGTCTCTGTCTTTATGTTGCATTTTGAAGAAATGTATAAAGTATTAACTGGAATGGCTGACAAAGCAGGTGCAACAAACAATACTAGAGGGACATCAAGAATTCCTGGAAAAAGTGTCACGCTGGGTGTTAAAATGCAAATTTTATGAATGTTCGGGGCAGGTGAATGTTCCAGGAATTGGTGGCAATGACATACTGGAACAATAGGTTATGAAGGATTTCTATACATTGTCATATATTATAAAAAGCATCATTTAAAAAAACACTGTAGTTTGGATAGAAGTGCACGTGTGGCAGCTGAAAAAGCTGTGGCGAAGGGCCAAGTCTCACACCCTGAGGTGTTGATGAGAAGCAAACAGTCTCTCTCTTGAGCACATCTCCATATGGTCTACAGTCTTAAAGACACTGTGTAGCTCATTTTGAGGATCACACCCAACTCTGATAAACATCATTTCCCCGCAGTTTCAACATTATTATGTGGTGTTAGAAAATTCTAACTTGCTTTGAGTGTTATTTTCTCCTTAGAGAGGGAAAAATTGAGCTAAGTTAGATGTACTAATGTTTCAATTATCTTTCCTAGTGTGCCCTCACTATAACTCTTAATTTGTACTTCATTTAAAAAGTCATCTGTATATATTGATAAGCATAACCATAGAATTTACTATTTCCATTATTAATAAGTTTAACTTCTAATATAGACCCAGTAAGCTGAGTAAATATGATTTACAAGGCATCCAGAAGGGTCCAAATGAATAAATACTAATGTATCAGGGTGCATAGTATAACCCCCACAATCCTTGACTGGGGGAAGGGAAGAGTGGATGGTACAACGTTTAAGATACATTGCATAATGAAAAGCAAGTTAATAGCTGTGCCTTCTGGAAAGGAAGAGGGCTACTGCCCCGGGCAGATTGTGTAAGTGACTGTGAAAACACTTAGGGACTTGTGACATTAGCTTGGGGGAAGCTCCTACAGCACCTGTGTGAGAAGCAGCAGGTAGATGTCCACTCTAAGGCTCCCCTGCATCCCTGGGAACTTTTGCCCTGACTAAAGATGGCAGTCAAAAGAGGGTAAAATACACTGGGGAGATGATAGAAATGGTGGACACTCATACACCATAGTAAGGGCCAGGTATGAGGTCACTCAGGAAGTTCTGGAGGAGCTAAAAGAGAGGAGTGAGCCACAAGGTCTGGAGTGAGAGGGGAAGTGTGCCTGGAAAAGACGAAGAGCTGATGGAACTGTAAGGGACCTGCCCAGCCAACGGGATTCATGAGAGATGCTTGGAGCAGAGCTGTGACTGAGAATGCTGCCCTGCAGACTTCTGCTTTTCTGAAAGACACAGCCTCTGAGTGACGCATTCTGAAACTGGCCCGGTTTGGCAAAGGGAGGCAGGACTGTGTTCTTAGGTGTTCTTAAAGGGGACAGAAATCTGACGTTATCCTAAACCTGAATAACCTTTAAATAAACAACTGCTTTCCTTTTCCACCAGACTGTTGCATTAGGAATCATGCTTCTTGGCAGCAGGCAATCGAAGCCCAATAGCTGTTCTAGAACATCGGCTGCTGGTATCAAGCAATTGAATAAACTGTTTCTTAAAGGAAGCTTAAGATATTCAATAACATATTCTATAGATATCTATCAGAGTTTGTGTAACACATCTTAGTTGCAATGAAAACATTTTATTTGGTCATTGCGTGAAAAAATAATGTAAATAATGACATTAAGAAAATAAAAGTAAATAATGACATTAAGGAAATAAAGAAAAGTATTGATATTAAGAAATAATGATATTAAGAAAATAATGTAAATAAGTACATTGAGAAAATAAAGAAAAGGCCATTGCATGAAAAAATAATGACATTAATACAAATATTAAAATATTCTAATCACATAAATAGCTTATAGTAATAGTAAAATATACCTTGCAGTAACTTTTTTGTTCTGTCTTCATTTCTAAGCAACAATAAATTAAGTTATAAGGGTTACACTGTAGAGAGGGAACTTATGCAGAAATAACTGTCTTGTAGTGTCTCATCAACTAAAATGCTTTTAATTGTATAATAATGTAGTTATTTTAAAAATAAGTTTGTATATGACTTCTAAATGTTATTTAAGACTTAGAAATTGATAAAAATACACATGACCATATGGAAGGACACACCATCTATTCCACTAAGTCGATCCAAAGATCTGAACAACAAAAACAACACTGACTGCCTCTGTACAAAGCAACAGAAATCATGTTGCCCTCAAAATACACCTCAAGCAACAGAAGAAAATGAAACAATGTCTACAGAACTTTGAAGAAGAAAATGAGTGCCCAGGCATATCTCAGCAAAGTTTGATAGTTAATAATGCAGACGGAAATGATCTTAATGATTAATGCAAAAAGACCTGCTAAAAACTGAGAAATGAATAATAATAAGGAGATGATTATCCAGGTGATTTTGACTGACAAGGATTTGACTTTGAGCATTAACTCAAACAAACATGTAGAGCTCAATAAATTCATTGTAAATTTGCATGCAAAGTTAAGTAAGTAATGAAAAGAGAAAATTAAATAATGATTATATCCTGAGTTAAATTAATGAAGTTATGTAAAAGGATGAGGAAAGAGGGGGTACTGTTATTCCCAAAGGTGAAACAAAGATGCTACATTCTTAATCCTTCTTATAGGAGTTTCAAAATTATTATTATAATTTTTCACTTATAAGAAAAATGTGAGCATAAATTTTTAAAGCTTTTTATATGGAAATATTAAAACCTTTTGACAGCAGAAAAGAGCTCTTAGAATTTATCATTAAAAATTAATGCCATATGCAGAAAGTAAAGTACATTGAGAATTTTAGTACCATATTATTTTTAGCAGCAGAAACTTGGAAACAACCTTTATAACACTAGGGAAAGGGTTACATAAATATATTTATTCATAATGTAGTTTAATAAGTAGCCCTTATGCGGATGGTGAGAAATAATTCATAATTATATGAGGAAATGCTTAAAACTTCGGATGAAAAATTCATGTGCATGAAATTTATATGTGCATGGACACACAAATACACACTGCATACAAAGTACATAAAAATCAGTTAATAAACTTGGTCAAATATGTTGAAATAAATAGACAAAAATTGGTTGCTATTTGTATAATGGTTGTGGAACTCTGGATAATGACTCCTTCCCTTGATACACAGACATGTACACACACACACATCATGGTAGTGATGCTTTACAAAGCCATCCTGAACGCTGAATTAGTGAGCACCGAACGATTATTCCGGGGGAAAATGCGAGGTTACGTGCTATAAGCCTCTGGTCACAACATTTTCATAAAAACATCAACACATACTCTTGTTTTACATTTTTTAATTTAGAGACACATTATTTTATATATATTCCTTAGAAATAATTAGATGCAGCATTTATTTGTAATAAAACATGAGCTGTGAAAAATTTAGCATTTTCCAGATTCTGGGTATCTGACTGTACATTTCTTTGGCTTTCGGCTTTACAATAACGATATACAGGACACTTTAAAAAATATATTTGACATATAACATTGAGTAAATTTAAGGTGTACAATGAGTTAATTTAATACATTTATACATTATAATATGATTGCCATTGATAATTAGCACCTCTATCACATTATATAAACACCCTTTCTTCTTTGTGGTTGAAATCATTAAGTGCTAGTGTCTTAGCAGGTTTGACGATTGTAAAATGGTATTGTTGTCTATAGTCACTATACTCAGTATTATATTTCCAGGGCTTATTTACTACCTGTGGCAGGTTCATACCCCTGAACAACATTTGCCCCCATCCCCTGGTAACCACCATTTCACTTCTGTTTTCATGACGTTAGCTTTTTTAGGTAAATGAATGATATCCAGTAGTACTTGCAAGATACTTTTTTATGGATTGTCATCTCATTAATTCACAAATTTATCCATTTTCTCTTTTTCCATAGCTTCATACAAATCAATTAGTATTTTCTTCTTTTTCCTGGACATACCACATTGTTCATTTATTAACATGGGAGTCAACGAGAACAGCACTATAACTTAGGCTCTAATGAAGCGTGCCCAACACATGTTATTTCTTCTCCTTAACACACATCACGGCCTTCTTGTTTTCAGGACACTAAACAGCACTACACTTGGGCCGCATTTCAAACACCAAATTGCCAAGAGAAAAGCACAAA